AGAACCTTTACTTCTTCCGGACAACCCTATTCGACCGTGGTCAAAAGTTGGCACAGACCTTTTTGAATTCCAATCAAACCAGTATTTGATAGTCATAGATTACTATTCCAAGTATATTGAAATTGCTAAACTCACTAGTGTAACATCTTCGAGTGTGATCAATCATCTCAAATCAATTTTTGCAAGACACAGGATTCCAGATATTGTCATTTCGGACAATGGCCCACAATACTCTTCTCACCTTTTCCAGACATTTTCAGAAGATTATTGTTTCACCCACATCACTAGCAGTCCCAGATTCCCTCAGAGCAACGGGGAAGCGGAACGTGCTGTAAAGACAATCAAGCAGATGCTGATAAAATCATCAGATCCTTACCAATCGTTACTGTCATATAGAGCTACACCACTCGAAAATGAGTACAGTCCTGCTCAGTTATTGATGGGAAGGAACTTGAGAACTACTCTACCAGTTCATCGATATAAACTTCAGCCCAAATTACCTCCATCCAGTTATGTGAATCAATCCACAGAAAAATCTCGCATACATCAGAAGCTAAATTTTGACTCTCGTCATCGAGCTCGTGAACTCTCACCTCTGACAGGAGGAGATAAGGTACTCATTCGAGATGACAGTAATTTTGTACGAGATGGCACTATAGTCCAATCTGCAGGGACTCCAAGAAGTTACTATATCAAAACACATGATGAGAAAACTCTTCGTCGGAATAGACATCATATTGTTCCAATACCCCAGTCAGGTCAAACTGAAACTTCAATAGTTCCAGAGCCAAGCCAGTCAACTGATGGATACATTTGCAGATCTGGAAGACTTTCTTTAAAACCAAATAGACTTGATCTTTAAGCTTATTTGGAGTGACTATAGACAAACAAATTGTTTTATGTTCAGTAGATACATTTATTTAATTTTGTTGTAAATCTTAACCATGTGGGATGTAGTATCTGCTTACCGCCCACGCTTCAAGGGCCTCAGTATTCAGATGTAACCTATAAAGAGCCCCATCTAAGGGATGTAACTCAAGGTATTTAATAAAAGCACATGTCTGCCAAGTAAACAAGTGTAATTACTTTCTGGTGTCTTCCTTAAGACCTTTCTCCCATCTGTATTTATTCATGCCGCATTGGGCATTACCACAGTATATGGTTCAATTTTCTTTCAATAATTCACTTGCGCTTAAGGGTCTTTGGCACTGGGAGGGATCGGAGGACCCTATACAAACTGGGAATCAAAACCAAGTCACTTCACTCAATGACAGACCTTATGATTTCATGCGCACATGTTAAACCACCAGGTGTTTGACAAAGTCGAAATTTTCGACAGGTGTCTTTATATCCAAGAACTGAAATGAGGTTCAGCACCGGAAAAGACAGGGAACTTTCTATACCAATACCCGGATTGAACCCCAATCTCATGATTAGTGAGAATATTGAACAAGTAGACATGGCCATGTGCATCATATTTCCTTCATAATTCTCTAAAACCCTTTGTCTCTAACTGGGAGAATCCTAAGTAAAAATTCAAAGTTTATGTATGTCATAAGATAGTTTCAGAATCTGAAAAACAAAAGGTCAGCAAACATATAAATTTGATTTTCTGTTTTTTGTTTAACATTTCAAAACTTAACAAATTGGAACTAAAAGCTTTTGAACAGTGCAATAAAGTACTTTGGGTTTTTAAATAAGTCTTTTTCCCGAAGAAATAAGAAGGACATTTTTACATGTGTTCCGAACACCAAAAGGACATTTTTTACATGTGTTCCGAACACCAAAAATCAGAAAATCAAATTGGTGTGGCCTGAAAAGGTGTTGTTTATTATATTAAAGCTTGATTAAAGATGGCTGAAATGGGTAACAACACAAGCATTGGCGCAGGATGTTTTTTCTCATTAGCCATGCTGGTTTGCTGGAGTTTTGTGTTGTTGTGTTACCAACCTATTATAATCCATTCGCTATGCCCAAATTAGGGATAAGAAATGCTATAGGTGTAGCTGTTGTTCTCTCTGAAGGTTCAAACCAGACAGTAGATAGAGCTGGAGCCAACACAAAGTAAAAACATGCAAGCATTAAATAAAACATGCCAAGATTAGGATTATAGTAAGCATACAAAGATTATAGTAAATATGAAAGGATTACAGTTAAAACATGTAGGGATTACAGTAAAAACATGCAGGGAATACAGTAAAACATACAGGGATTACAACTAAAAAGTTGCAGGATTACAGCTAAAAACATGCAAGATTATTATAGTTAAACATACTATGATTACAGTAAAACATACTATGATTACAGTAAAACCTTAAGCATTTCCGTAAAACATGCAAGGATCATAGTAAAACATGCAAATAAATGCATAGCAAATAAAGCATGCCACAACTCAAAAACTGTAATTTTTGTTAGCTAGGTACACTAACCGATTATGAATGAGAATGCTACACCAAGACCATTGATAGCATTGCAAACAGCTGTACTTGTAGTTCGTTCATTGGCTGGAAACCAAACAGCTGAAAGTGCTGGTCCACCCCCCATACCCACTGGTCCAGAAAATCCACACAAAATTTGACCCAGATGAATTAACCTACAAATGATACAGCAAGCTTGAAGACAGACCTGGAAATAATGACTAGTTGTGCCTGACACAAATAAAAATATCACCCAAAACACTGATCTAGAGAAAAATGACAGTCACCAGAAGTCGAGAGCGAGAGAGAGAAATGGGGTTAAACATACACTTGACTTAGACTTAAGGCCTAGTTATATGGAAAGGGCTGGCCCTGAAATACGAGCTAGCCCTGGTGCCCGAGCCAGCTCATTTAACTATTCACATTAATCCCGCCTATTTCACCCCGTCTCGGCTAAATATTCTGGGTTATCCCTTTTTATTGTTTATATGCAGACAGGCCAGCCCCTGGTAGAAAGACGGGCTAACCCGTTTAACAGTTTATATGATCCAGAGCCAACCCTGTCAACCTTTATATGGCAGGGGCGAACGTTCTAGCCGGGTTAAAAACAATTTTACGTTCTTTGACAAAATGGCATCCTTGTTAGGATGGTTGATATCACAGTTACATGCTGTACTGGGGTGTTTCTTAACGTCATCCAAGCATATACTTCATGTACGACCATGATGTTTCAACAAAAACATTGCGAAGAAGACGAGTAACTGGAAGAGTACGAAAAAGGGCTATATGGCAGAAACGTGGCAGAACCGATCAGTGGTGGTGTAACATGAAATTAGGCAGACTTGAAGATTCAGAATGGCATAAGAATTTCTGTATGTCAAAACAAGATTTCCAAAAACGTGCTAATGAATTACGACCTTTTATTGCACCGAACACGCTATCACCAAACTACACAGCTTTGAGTGTTAAAGAAAAGAAACTTGCTATTACCCTTTATACCGTATCAAGGAATATTCCACGTGTTCCTCCAACGAAGAAGTAATATTTAATAATATGTTATGCACTGCCAGGAATCCAATCGAGTGTGCATTTGGTCGACTTAAAGCAAGGTGGGCAATATTAACTAAACCAATCAATTTGAAGCTAGAGAACGTCCCTTTAATTATTTACAGTTGCTTCGTTTTGCATAATTATTGTGAAGTTAATCGTATTAGTGTAGATAACGAACTTGTTTAAAAAACAGATGTTGGTAATGGAAGCTAGACAAGACAATAGAGTCGATACAATGTATTCGTGTAACACTGGTAAAGGTGAAGCTGTTCGGGATGTTCTAAAACAATACATAAAGGACAATCTTCCTGATCATTTGTGAATGATTTTTTTGTGAAATGTAGATCTATAAAAGATTGCCATTAAACCTTTGTAAAACAATTTTATTTTTGTACGTGTTGAGGAGGGGTGGGGTGGGATACAATGCCACAGTCAGATACTATACTTGGCTGCACCAAACAAACTGTTTTTCCCTGAAGACTCAATCAATGGGACATGTTCACCGAGCAGTTGACAGTTGGATGTTCTACCACTTAACCACTGCCACAAAGCAGCTGGCAGTCGTATGTTCTATCCATTGAGCCACCACCCCAACCCCTTTCAAAGTGGATTCGCATTTTTGAAATGTAAAATTTAAAAAGAGTGTCATTAAACGTAACATTTTATTATTGTATATTGTTCTAAACTTATGGCGGTGGGGTGGGGTCCAATGTCGCGGTCAGTGCTTACCGATACAAAATTTGACTGTGGCTTCAAACGCAACCTATTTGGTTTAAGGGAGACTCAAACCAAAGGGAATGTTCACCTCTAGCTCTTGTCGGTCGGACGCTCTACCCACCAAATCATAGCCACACCCTTTTAAAATGAATTCGCAATATCAGCATTTACTTACAACTACACAGGCGAAGTAGGTGTGTGTGTGTGTGGGGGGGGGGGAAAGTCTAATATCAGAAAGAACTGGTCGTGACATCGGTCAGACCTGGTATATCTGATTTAATTTTACAGCTTCTAATTACTTTAAATGAACTCTGTGCACGCGTCAACCCGCTTTTAAGCCCGAAATTTATTTATATGAACGGCGGGCTGGCTCTTCTAACTGAGCTTCTCGGTCTGAAGAACGGGAAACTTGGTTAAAAGGGCCAGCCCGCTTTCTTTATAAATACTTTATGTCAATCAAACTGTATTTTAATAGAATGACGTCACTATCGGGGGGCCCGTTTATGCGAGCTGGCTCGTCAACGAGGGTTAGCCCTTTTCATATAAACAGGCCCTTAGACTAATGTAATTTCAGGACAAGTATATGGTTCAATTTTTTTTCAATAATTCACTTGCACTTAGGGGTCTTTGGCACTGGGAGGGATCGGAGACCCCTGTGTTCTTGTGTTACCAACCTATTATAAATCCACTAGCTATGCCCAAATTAGGGATAAGAAATGCTAAGATGGCTGAAATGGGTAACAACACAAGCATTGGTGCAGGATGTTTTTTTTTTCATGCTGGTTTGCTGGAGTTTTGTGTTGTTGTGTTACCAACCTATTATAAATCCACTAGCTATGCCCAAATTAGGGATAAGAAATGCTATAGCTGTAGCTGTTGTTCTCTCTGAAGGTTCAAACCAGACGGCAGATAGAGCTGGAGGTCCTCCCATGGCAACCGGCCCACCCAAACCAACCAGAAATTGGCCAAAATGAATTAACCTGAAAATTAGATATTAATAAATACCCAGTAGCCCCGATTAAGCCCAGACCAATTCATTATACAGTTCTTTACAGTCCTGATAAATACCGATAGGAATGTAAGTATCATAAACGATCTTTTGTTTAAAATTTCAAATCTTAAAAAAATATTGAAACTAAAAGCTATTAAGAGCAACCAAGTTTTTTTTTGTGTTTTTACATTAGCTTTTTATATTGCCAAGTTTCACAATGGACAAAGAGCTGATATCCAGACAACTGGGACCAAAGACCACCCCGTCCAACAAAAAGACCCAGTTGACAGAAGACTACCCACCAGACCATGGACCGTATACACGGTCCATGCTCAGACTAAGACCATTATTTTGCTTGATAATATTGTATTAAAACAAACACAACCATCAATTTATTAAAACAACATTTTATTATTTCTAACAAATGATCTGAGTGGTCTTTCAGAGTGGTCATAGTGGTCTGGCTTGTCTTTTTGGGGGGTTCCGAGGGGTATATCAATTAGTACGACTAGTCTTGGCCAAGTGGTCATTGTATCATATAATATGTAGCACTGATATATGTACGGTACATGTTAAATCATTTAGCACCTGGACTACCAAAAACAGCCAGAAACTACTGCTGCCTCTAGTGCCTCAAACCACAGAAGACTGGTGAATAGATGTGAACTATATACTAGTTCTGTGACTCAGGCAGTCTTGGGTACAAAGCAGTAGCTTTGGGCGGTTTCAAAAATGTATTTACAATTTTATTTTTAGCAATTATTTAATACATACCATGTGGACCCGGGTGGTGTGGATGTAATACAACGAACTCCAGCTCCAGCTGTTACCAGAAAACAACTTGTCACAGCAGCAACTCGTAAACCTGTCATACAAATAGAGAAGAGAGAAATGGGGTAGTTTAAATGCCCATTCACCACAAACTAGGTCATTTAGGGACTAACATATGATGTCTTTATTTTAGTAATTTCGTTTAGGTATCTGTAGGAAACTGGAATACCCCAAAAAACGTTAAGGTTATCAAATATGAATTACACGCTATATATAATTAATACCCCAAGTGTTGGATGGACCAAACCATGCAATTTGACTCAATGACAGGCCATGTGAGTTAGACTATTTGCAAATTTGGCAAGCATCCCCCACCCAACCTAATTCCTAATGCATTTGTTCTGTATTACAATTTATAAATATTGGTATATTGCTACAGGCCTATTACACCTGTAAGGTATTGCCTAAGTAGTTAATTTTCCTCTTAAAATGATCTATATCATTTTAGGTTCATATTTACATTTTCATTGGCTGGATATTTTCAACTGTTTGAGTGAAAAATGGGATATAAGGGAAGATAACTCTGTTGATTACCTTTAACATCAATCATCCATGAGAAGAATATACCACTAATAAGATAGGATATCGGACCCCAGTTGGATAGCAAGGCAATATCACCATCATTCCAACCAAATGCATCTTTTGAGGAATCAGAAATTGGTCCCCAAGTATTCCAGATTCCACCCTGGGCTGCTGCAAAACAGGAAAACAGTAGCAAGACGTACCATCTTCTTTTGTAAACCTAGATTTTTAAAATAAACGTAAAAATATTTCTCTATAAAGATACATAACCAATAGGTATTCCTAACATACTCAAATTCAAAAGCCAACAGTTTAAGTTTAAGGACATCTGAATTTACAACGTCAAAAATGAAAACACATTTAATATAATTAAAATAAAACCAAGTATGAACAATCCAAACCATTAGACAAAATTCAAAGTCCTAAAAAAATTGGTAGAGAGAGAGAGAGAGATGGGGTTTGACATCCACTGACACAAACTAGGTCATTTTGGGACTAACACATGGTTCAATTTTATTTCAATAATTCGCTTGTGTGTAGGGGTCTTTAGCAGTGGAAGGAAACCGGAGGGCCCGGAGAAAACCCATGAGGTTGGACAGGAGACCCTACTCCTTGTCATGTACAACTGGGGAATCGAAACCTCGCCATTTGACTCAATGACAGACGTTTTGATACAGCGTAAACGTGCTACCCATCCGGCCATCCACCCCCCCCCCCTAAAAAAAAAAATGGTATAGGAAATGGATTTTAAACTATAAACGACATTGCCCAGAACAGAAAATACTAAAATTTAAAAGCAAGGAGTCTAAGGACAAGTGAAATGGGATTGAACATCCTACTGTTCTGCTCCAACTGGGCTAATGAAGATGGAAATACACAATACAGTGTGCTAAGAGGGTTATTTTGCCCAGACAGCGGCACTACGGCCTGCTCTTACATAGGATTCCAACTACCAAGGGATCTGTTATGTGCATTCGACCTTGTGTTTTTGTCCAATTCAAACGACTAGACAGCCATACTTGTCAATCCCTCCTTCCTGCACCACTGACAAGGAGAAAACATGCCAGAAAATCCTCATGAATAGCGAGTTAACGGCTTACTCACTTAGCCACCGTGGCTCCCCTGGCTCGCTAGAGGTTATGAAGACTGGCATATGAGGTGTTGTACGGAGGGGGATTTTGCCTACTCCTCATAGAATTCAAACTGCCAAAATTTGTTTTACATTCACACCAGCGTGTACATTTGACCTTGATTTTGTCGTACAATCAGAACGACTAGACACCGTTCCATCCTCCACCACTAACACAAACTAGTCATTCCGGGACTAACATATTGTTCAATTTAGGCGACCTACTCCTTGTCATGTTCAAGTGGGCAATTGAAACTACACCACTTGACTCAATGACAGACCTTGTGATTTCATGTGCATGTGATAACCCACGAGGTTGAACAGGCGACTCTACTCCTTGTCAAGTTCAAGTGGGGAATTAAAACCACACCACTTGATTCAATGACAGACCTTGTGATTTCCGATGCATGCGTTAAATCGCTCTCCACAATTTCCATATTTCATTTGACAAATGGTCAATATTCACCGTGCAATTACGCAACAGTCCTGGCTATATACATGTAGACTCTTACTCTCCCTATCATGATATAACTCTTTGTGCCAGATGCTAGGCCGATGACAACTTAGATCTACTGGGTGATACATGTATATTGAGGCAAACCGCAAGGCCCTCCCCACCATTGTACGGTTAGAGTTACAACAACTAATATAATGTAAAGTTAGTTCAATCCCTCTAAAATTAACTGATCATAAGAATAATAAACTTTTGACATTGTATATATTATATAATATAATATAATATATATGATTGTATATATTATAATACAGTTAGTTCAATCCCTCTAAAATTAACTGATCATAAGAATAATAAACTTTTGACATTGTAATATATTTCTGATTGTATATATTATAATACAGTTTGTAAATATAAATAAATAAATCCAGCATAAAATGTATATTTAACTGTCTATGCCCCAAAATATTGTTTCATACATATAGGAATATAAATATTATATTGTAGTATATTACCGATTGTATATATTATTTCATAGTGACTTATGTATATAACGATTGTAAATATAAATAAATAAATAAGTCTAGCGTACAGTATAATTATTACATGTATATTGAACCACATTAAATTATAAATTGTATATTGCATTGTAATTATTATGCATAAAAAAAAGCGAGATAAAAGGCGTCAGTCGATAAAAGATTTTGTGTGAAATAAATGGACTGGATATAGATGTTTAAAGTGTTAGCAATGTAGATAATTTAAAATCTAAAATGCTGTCATCCACTCAACTTCTGTGCTGACTGTTTGGATGTTAGATGTTACATCATTAGAATATCAAGAGGAGAGAGAGAAATGGGGTTTAACATCCACTCGACAAAAACTAGGTCATTTCAGGACTAACATATGGTTCAACTTTATTTCAATAATTCGCTTGCGCATACATGTAGGGGGTCTAACCATTCAGCCATCCAATCTCCCTCAGTAGGGTCACCTGTCCAACCTCGTGGGTTTTCTCTGGGTCCTCCGGTTTCCTCCCATTGCAAAAGACCCTACGCACAAATGAATTACAGAAATAAAACTGAACCATGTGTTATAGAGAACAATGATTGAATTATAAATATATATAATTTTTAAATAAAAAAGATTTTAATACAAAATACTTTTACCTTTATTTCATGAGTTCTTTCGATAATAACATCAGTATCATTTATACTTTCTTCACTTAAAACATTTTTTATTTGTTCATCTCGCTCATCTTTATTTATAGATGAATACTGATGGTGTGATGTCACATCTTCGTTATCTGATGATAACAGTGGTGATTTCTCTTCTCGGGGCTTTGGTTTTTGGGCCATTTTTAATTAATTGTGCTATCAGTTATATGCCCTTGACATCTGAAAAATAAAAATCTAAAAATAAATCAAAATAGACATCCAACTAGAATAAAAGTCAGTTACTCTTATTTTGTTATTTTCAATTTGTTGGGTCAGGTTGCAAGTAAAAGTTTAAATATTCAAAATTTAACACGAATGGAATGAAATTCAATGGGCTTAAAGGGTGTATGGCTCTATATTTTGGAAGCTTGAAATATGCGAAAATGGTTCTAAAAGCAGTGAAAATGAAATGAAATAGGGTTTAACGTCCTACTGTTCTACTCCAACTAGGCTAATGAAGACGGACATACACCATGCAGTGTGCTTTTAGGGAAATTTGGCCTAATGAGTGATGACTCTTATTTTAAATTCTAACTGCCAAGGGTTCTTTTATGTGAACCCCAATGTGTTAATGGGACGTCATATTTTTGTCAGTCCTAATGAATATACGTTGTTCTTTGCCAGGTCATCTGCCCTGCTCTACTGACAAGAGGGAAGCCCGTTGGAAAATCCAGACGAACTATCTTGGCCAACAGGTAGACCTCCAGGTGAGAGACCAAATGTCTTACTCACTGAACCACTGTACCTCCTAACTAAATTAAAAGTCATTCTTATTTTGTTATTTTAAATTGGTTGGGTCAGGTTGGGAGTAAAAGTTTAAATTTTAAAAAATTATAGGAATGGAATGAAATGTAATGGGTTTAAAGTTTCATCAAAACAATACATCTCTCATTTTGAGACTAACATTCACTTGATTTAATATAGGTTGTTTATTGCTTGCAATGTCTGTGTAGCTTGTGTCTTGTCCACAGGTTTGTCTTATTGGTTTTGTTTTCGTGTAGTGCGGTTCTGACTGACTATAACAGGGTAACTTTCATTTCAATGGTTTATGGAATAACAATTACTGGTTTATTAACATGCAACGTTTCGACGATGATACTTGATAAAGATGATTGTATCATCGTCGAAACGTTGCATGTTAATAAACCAGTACTTGTTATTCCATAAATAAAGTTAGTGTGTTACTGTTCAATTACTAAATGCCACTTAAAGAAATTTCAATGGTTACTGGTGCAATGTGAGGGCTGAATTTTGACAGGACAGCATGCAGTTTTATTTCTTCGACATTGGCAGGACTAAAAATACCAAGTATTCATTTATCCTGTTGTTTCCTTGGTAAATATTGATTTGGTTAAAAATTGTGATACAAATCGTATTGTAGCACATGAATCGAGACTGCAGTGTCAATGTCCAGCAGTTATTACAGTGTCCGTTATCAATGACAGTGACCTTAAAATGGACCTTGTCAAGGTTGATAATATGTGCTGTAATTTTAATTTACACTGTTACACACAGCCTATGGAGTAAATCTGATTAAACTGAAGTCATATCTTCATTAGTATAGATATAGGCCTACTCCTAGATTAGAGTTTCCATTTGATCAAATCTAAGAGGTAAGTTTTGTTTTGAGAGAGAGAGAGAGAGAGAGAGAGAGAGACTAGGTCATTTCGGGACTAACATATGGTTTAATTTTATTTCAATAATTCACTTGTGCGTAGGGGTCTTTAGCAGTGGGAGGAAACTAGAGGACCCGCAGAAAACCCACGAGGTTGGAAGGCAACCCTACTCCTTGTCACGTACAACCGGGGATTCGAAAGTTTTGTTTTGTTTTTTAATTGATTGGATGGCTGAATGGTTAGACCCCCTACATGTATGCGCAAGCGAATTATTGAAATAAAATTAAACCATATGTTAGTCCCGAAATGACCTAGTTTGTGTCGAGTGGACATTAAACCCCATTTCTCTCTCTCTCTCTCTCTCTGTCATTATGGGGAAACCTAACTGGAAAATTCTGAGAAACTTACTAGTCCAACACCGGGATTGAACCCTTAGTGAGATAACCCCAAACCCAATATTTTAATATCTTAATGTCATAAGTAAAAGAAAAACAGTTGTTATTTATTTGATATGGTTTTTGATTACTGGTGCTTCAACTTTAACTCAAGAAAAATCAATTTCTGAGTGTACTAGCTTCTTATTGAGGATATTTTGATAATAATATAATATTGTTCTCTGTTTTTTGTTTATGTCTTTTTTTATGGATTAATGTGTTGTGATTGTTGTAATTTTATATTAGTTGTACTTATGTAAAGCGCCCGAGAGCAGCTCGCTGAGTTGAATTGTTGGCGTTATATAAATCAATTATTATTATTAATATCGCTACTGTTTACTGCATGGGCTTCATTCCATTTTATGGTGGCTATTTTGCCATAATCTGTAAAGTCTAATTAAATGTGTACAGATATAACTTTCTCCCAGTCTCAAGTTCTCAACCAGTGAAATTTCTTGAATCTATCCTTACTACACCATATAAGCAGAAAATGCTACCTTACCGAGATTCAACATTCTAGTTCAATTAGAAGCAGAGTAGTTATTGTGTTCCAAAAAAGTGTGATGAATGGGTAGATTATAGATTCTCGCTGCCATTTGCAGAAATATTGACAATAACTTGTGGAAAAATTTATTTTTGACCTATTTGGAAATGGTTTATGATGGCGAGATATATTATAGCTTGTCACAGAACCTTATGTTATAATTGTTAAATTAAATTAATCACCGGGAACATAAATGTTAACAGTGGGTCTAGTGTAAAACTAAATGTTGAATATACAGCCTAATCATATTATTGAGGCAAGCAGAATTACGTAATGCCACCTATACTAACCCCAAACTACCAAATGCCACCACAAATTACCTTTATTATTAAGAAAATATGGCAAAATACTTTTATTAATTCAATATCACTGAGTTTGCACAAACCGGCTGATAGGCCTATTATATAACCTCTTTTTATTCCATAAGTGAGAGACACTATCAGACTCAGAGGTATGCTGCCTAGTTGAAGGGCAATTAAGTTATCCAAATTGATTGTAATGGTTTGCCATCTCTGATAGAACTGGTTCATTACTTTGTAGTCAAGTATTGGTTTTTTACTAGGTTTTAATTTCAACTATCATTTTATTTGCCTTAAATTTTGGCAATTAAAGTTTTCTCCATATTTAGGCCTTATATTATTAGAATAATAATGGAGACTTACACATGAATCATGATATTCAATCAGTTTTCTTTTGAATACAGTAGGCTATGTACTCACCCTCGAATGAACTAAGCCGAATAAAATGTATAAATCAGATCTACTTATTATCTAACATAAAAATAGTCGGTAAAACACACAAAGAAATATAACACTCAGACAGCTGACAAGACTGGTCATCAATTTGTTGACATCACATGACTGGAAATGTCACATGATAGATCATGTGATCAAGAAAACAAGAACTGAGAGTAAACAGTGGAAATTAATTGCTGGGGTTGGATGTTGCTTTTTTTAATTGTACTTCATCGTTTTCATGTGAAATAGGTAATCTATTGTTATAGCCTAACGTTAGACCCATAATAAGGAAATGAATGGGCCACTAGAAAGTTATTTTATTAGGATTAATACAAATTCTTAGGTACAGATTGTTAATTTGAAACTGCGGAAGGAATACCCTGCGGAAAGTAGGCTAGGACTATGATTCACGTGCATCACAGTTTATTTTAGTCCACTAAAATATATATATATATATAAAAGTGTGTGTTCAACATAACAAATATTTCGAATTAAAAAATGAGAGCATAAACCAATACAAGATATGTACACAAGTAGCCCAGTTAACATTGATGGTTAGATTTACGTAAAGTTTACGTCATTATGGTTAGATTATGGTTAGCGTCCAATAATGGTAAAATTCTTTGGTTAAATTTACGTTACTTTTACGTCATAATGGTTATGGTTACTTTTACGTCAGAAAATGACGTAAATGTAACGTAAACTTTATGACGGATTACTAACCAATTTTTTTCCCTTTGAATACTTCTTGATTAAATAACATTACAAGTGTGTGCACATTCTAACAATTGATATATAGTCGGAATTCAGACATAATAATTATATATGTATTATTGGTTATAATTCTAACGTTAATCTAACGTAAATTTTACATCAGGTTTCTAACCGTTAGTTTATGGTTAGTTTTCTGACGTAAATCTAACGTTAGTTTTCTGACGTAAATCTAACGTTAGTTTTCTGACGTAAATCTAACGTTAGTTTTCTAACGTTAATATAATGTTAGTTTTCTAACGTTAATGTAATGTTAGTTTTATGTCATAATTTTAACCGTTAATTTAACGTTAGTTTTCTAACGTAAATCTAATGTTAATTTTATAACATAAATCTAACTTTAGTTTTCTAACATAAATCTAACGTTAGTTTTCTAACATAAACCTGATATTAGTTGTAAAACGTAAAACAAATGTCAGTTTAATGTCATGATACTAACAATTAAGGGCCTGACAAGACAGCTGTCTAGTCATTAAAATGGGTAAGACCCTGGCTCGCTAGCCTGGAGGTCGGGTGTTCGATCCCTGCATTGGCCGAGAAAGTTCATCCAGATTTCCGGCGTGGTTTCCCCTTGTCAGTGATGCAGGACGGAGAGCCTGACAAGGACAGCTGTCTAGTTGTTCAGATGGGATAAAAAAAAAAAACGAGGTCCTGTGTACACATTGGCATGCATGTAAAAGATCCCTTGACAGTTGGAATTCGATATAAGAGTAGGCCGTAGTGCCACTGTCGGGGCAAAATTTCCCTCATAACACACTGTATGGTGTATGGCCATCTTCATTAGCCCAGTTCGGAGCAGAACAGTTGGACGTTAAACCCCATTTCATTTCATTACATTTTGTATCCATTTCTAAGTGCCCAAGATTAGAGATCTAGCTCCTTTAATAGTTGCGGTCTCTAGGTGACACACAAAGAGAAAACGAATGAATGAATGATCTACTCTCATTTCAAATTCCAAATGTCAAGGGTTCTTTTACGTGCACACCCACGTGATGGACTAGACACTGTTTTTTTGAGGTCCTCTGTCCTACACCACTACTAACAAAGGGAACTTTCTCGACCAACATGGGGATCACGTTGGCTAAGTGGGTAAGACGCTGACTCGCTAGCCTGGAGGTCGGGTGTTCGATCCCTGCATTGGCTGAGAAAGTTCATCCAGATTTTTCTGCGTGTTTTCCCCTTGTCAGTGATACAGGACGGAGGGCCTGACAAGAACAGCTGTCTCGTCAGGGATGAAAAACTGAGGTCACGTGTACACACAGGAGTGCACATGAAAGATCCCTTGGTAGTTGGAACTTGATATAAGAGTAGGCCATAGCGCCGCTGCCTGGGCAAAATTTCCTTCATAGCATACTGTATGGCGTATGCTCATCTTCATTAGCTCAGTTTAGGAGCAGAACCCCTCATTTGCTAGCCAGTGTGTTACTAATTACTAGAGAGAGAGAGAGAGAGAAATGGGGTTTAACGTCTACTCGACACAAACTAGGTCATTTCGGGACTAACATATGGTTTAATTTTTATTTACATAATTCGCTTGCGCGTAGGGGTCTTTAGCAGTGGGAGAAAACCGGAGGTTGGACAGGCGACCCTACTCCTTGTCACGTACAACCGGGGATTCGAAACCACGCCAGTCAACTCAATGACAGACTTTATGATACAGCGCCCGCACGCTAACCATTCAGCCATCCAACCCCCCGTTACTAATTACTAAGTTTGTGAAATGTAGGTTTTTCCTCATGTAGGTTTGTCCTGATGAAATCGGTTTATTGTCCTACTGTTCTGCTCCGACTGGGCTAATGAAGACAGGTACATACCATACAATGTGCTATGAGGGAAATTTTGCCTACTAATATCGAATCCAACTGCCAAGGGATCTTTTCGTGCAAGCCAATGTATACATGGTACCTCGGTTTTTTGTCCCATCTGAGTGACTAGACTACTGTCCTTGTTCCTGCACCTCTGAAAAGGGGAAACCATGTCGGAAAATCCTGATGAACTTTCTCCACCAATGCAGGGATCGAACACGTGCCCTCCGGATTACCGAGCCAGCATCTTACGCACTTAGCCACCATGGCTTTATCAAAATTAGTAATGAAGATGTGCTATGACAGAAATTTTGCCTGGACAACAGCATTACCGCACTTACTAATGAAGAAGTGCTAGGAAAGACATTTTGCCTGGAGAGCAGCATTTCCACATATAGTCATTACCAATAGTTCTAAGTGCACGCCAACCTGTAAAACATGTCTTTACACACTTTTCCATCATTACCAATTACTAGTCTGCGGGTTCACTAGTCTGTGGGTGCACTAATCCGTGCATTCACTAGTCCACTAGTCTGACTCTATAAAATACTATAAATATGAGTATTAAAGAAACCCAGTAGATATGGTGACTGATATCACCCTTCGTAAGGCGATAACCCAACATCACGGCATTTTAACCCGAAATCACAACATTTTAACCATTATAGCATATGCCCTTCTTCATTAGCCCACTTGGAACAAAATAGTAGGATGTTCAAACCCCATTTAAAATTCATTTTTATACTTTTCTAAACCAATCGGACTATTGAAGATAGTCATACGCAATGCAGAGTGCTATGACGGAAATTTTCTATGGACTGTGGCAGGGCGGAGGATCTGGCAAGGGATAAGGTATAGTTGTTCGGGTCATACGAAAAATCAAGTCCTCGTGTACATATTGGCATACACGTAAAAGACACTCCGACAGTTGTAATTCAATATCAGAGTAGGCCATAGTGCCGCTATCCGTGCAAAGTTTCCGTCATAGTACACTGTATATAGTGTATGCCTGTCTTCATTAGCTCACTCAGAGCAAAACAGTAGGATGTTTAATCTCATTTAATTTTATTTAATTTTCCTACTTTTCTGCACCAATGGGACTATAAAAGATAGGCTGGCAAGCGGACGAGTGCACCCATTGACTATTGAGCATCATTTACTTGAAAACGTTGAGAGAACCCTCAACGAAATGTCGCTTTAATTAAAATAGTAATTGTGTTTTTTGTTGTATCATCGAGTCAAGTGAACGTTAAACCCCATTTCTCTCTCTCTCAATTTTGATACCCAAAAATTTGACAAAACAAATAATGATTGATTGTCGGAAACTGTTTCATAAAGCAAAGTTGTTCTCTACTAAAAGGTTATCACTGTCCAAATGTTAGGAGTAGTCCACACCTAGGCCGACTATGCATGAAGTGTTTTTATAATTAAATTTATTAAATATAGTACCTTGCATCAGTAAATATAAAATTAATGATCCTTTCACCAGTAAATATAAATTAAAATTACCCGATTTGATTATTCTTTTAATATAACGTAATCATGTAACCTCATATAAAATATGGTAGAGCGTATACAAACAAATAATATGAATAGATTCATTATCAGAAATATTACAGGCCTTTCAAACGAACAGTCGCAATTTTTAGACCTAAATACATGTAGATGTACAAATATATTTTTATCGTCTCGGGCAAGGTCAAGGTCACGATCTGTTCACGGTTGATGATTGTGTTTAAATCGGTTTATATCATATTATTTCTATTCACATTACAATATTTTTTTTATAGGTTACGGTTATTGTTGTTATTTATCAAAATTGCTTCAATTATTTATTAAATATTTTTTGTTTGTTCGTTTGACCGGAACGTACGGAATTCTGGGATTTAAAATGGCGGCATAGCTTATTATATTTCCCAAAGAAGAAATGATGCCGTGATTTAAAGTTAAATAAAGCTATTCCACACATACACACACGATTTTGGATTCAGCAAAGTAAAGTTGAAGGTAAGTGCACTTTTTATGCGAACTTCCGTTGACAGTATACCGATAGATCTAATGTTCATAAAAAAATAATCTGGCCGTGGAAAAAGTTTGCACGCAACTTTGTATATCAGACAGTCAGTATTTGTTTTTAACACGATGCAGTTACATTGTCCGTAAACCATACTATTCATAAACAAAATCAACATTGCTTTAAGTTATCGAAAGTAATACTGGTTCCAAAATTGTTTTTAAAAAATCTGGATCCAAAAATTATCAAACACATAACGAATTTATTAATGATGTAGACTGTTAAAATTCAGGCTGTGCTAATTATAATATAAGTACATGTAGTATTTTCTAAACATTTTTATGGGTGTTTCAGGTTGGGTTTTTTTGTTGTTATTGTACTGATATTTTTGCAAATTTAATAATGCATAATGCAAGAGCTAAATCTATATATTGTACGTAGGTTAAGTAGGTATTTCTTGAGACTGTAAATGTTAAATTTTTTTATAAGACATTTTAATGTATTAACTTGCTAAGTCTATAATCAAGTCTCAATGCCATCGGGTGCTCGAGATGTTCACAGATTCAAACACTGGCGGTTAATGTTAATGATTTAATTTAATTGAAAAATGGATAATCAAGACTTTAAGCTTATATACATAGGCCTATTTATATGATATA